TACAATGTTACCATTAGTAGTAGTAGTAAAGTAGTGGTACTACTACTACTACTACTGTTTTCATTACCATTAATATTATTATAAATGCCATAATGACCTTTATCATTATCACCATTATCATTTTCATCACCACCATCATTATTATCATTGTTACTCTTACTATAGTCTTTAGTACTATCATCATCATTATTGATTATCATTATTGTCATTATCAACATCATATTTACATCATCATCATCATTTTTATCATTACTATTATTATCATTATCATAGTTGTTATTATGGCAACTGTGAAACAACGAGCATTATCATTATCTTTATTATAATTGTAATTATCATAATCACTATTACTAACATCATTACTATTATCATTATCATCAAGACAATCATCAGGATGATTATTATTACCATCGTCATCATCATCTTCAGCATCATAACCATCATCACCATCATTATTGTCATTGTTGTTGTTATCATCATTATCATCATCAGTGTATTATAATTATCATCTTAATTGTTATTAATACCATTAGCATTACTATTAGACCTATCATTAATCTCATCATCATCAATATTATTATCAGTGCCATAATGAATATCATTATCACAAATGTTATTACTGTTTCTGTTGCTATTATAACCTTGAGTCTCATTATTCTCTTAATTATATTCCTCATTATTAATTCTGTCATCCTCACTAGCATCATTATTGTTATAATGATCACCTCTGTGATTAGTATCATCATTAATCAACCTATTTTGTTTATAGTGTTCTTTTTCTGCCATCACCGGCATCATTCATATTACTATAATACTCGTACTAGTTATCATCACTGATAATGCCATTACAAATATTATCATCATTGTAATCAACATTGTCATCATCGCCTTCACCATCATAATCATATTGCTGCCATCATTATTTGAAATTTCACCATAATTACCAAGTATGATCGTGGTTTCTTTCTTACCTTTGTCATAATCATTGTCATTAACCGTTACTCTTATTACTATCATCTACATCACTGCCATTACCACCATGATCATAATTACCATAATTACCATTAGTCAAGCCCCGATAAGTTGGAAAATGTCTGATGTCATGAAGATAATGAGGCAAGGACGGTAGGAAAAGGGTCCTCATTATAATTGCTAATGATGTTACCATAACTATTATGATTAATAGTGCTCGTATCACTGCTGTTTCTCTTTATAACCTCGCCGTTAAAACTCTCACTCTTAGCTGTGTTATTGTTATTATAAATAGGATGAACAAACTGCGAAAACGATTAAGATTAAGAGTATAAGAAAATCAAAATCATTTATCAGGGAAATTATGAGGACTTCAAGTCTAAGATTAGGCATTGCTAATGTTACCATCGTCGTTTGCAATTTTATTGTAAGCATTGTTACTACCATCTTTATTACGATACCTCTTCATATTTATTATTCACTATCTGATAACTTTCTAGCGCGGACAAGCTGTAACCCAGTCAATTTTTCTTTCTTCAAATAAATCAGAAGTGATTTAACAGACATATTGTTTGCTTCAGTGAATAGGTAATGCACCTCTTCTCATCCGAAAGTTTTTTATTCACGTTTAAAATTTCCAAAGCAGTTTTATGTAGTTTTGTTTTCAAGAAACAATGGACGCACTCATTCCTATGCGACTCAGGCGGCCATTGAATATTCATGGGTCATATATTTTACATCCACTTTTAAAACATGATTACTCATAATGAGCAATAAAAAATTAACCATGTTGACAGAAGACATGTTAAGGAGAATCTGGAACATATTCCTTTATATCAATAAGTTGAAAGTTGATCATTATAATGTGTATATGACACTGGACCTACGTGCTTTTCATCTATTATCAACTTGGTTAAGCAGACTTGACTCCAAATCTCCGAAGTTACATATCACGCGTCAACCTAACTCAGGAATGAAAATTTGATCAGATATCTCGGCACAGGTTTATTCAGAGATAAAAAAGTGCGATGTCTGGCAGGAAGAAAGCAAGAATTTAAGAACAAAAAAGAAGATAAGAAAAAAAAGTGAAGGTTGCTGTCCGGCTCATGGCAGCTGTGAAACGACGTCTTGTGAATTCGGATCTCCTTTAGGAGACATCTGATCGTTCCCTTGTGGAATTCGACTTTCTATTCATATCATTTTATTATGTAAACCTCGACGTTGCTGCCTCCTGTCCAACTCGTCTGCAGACTCGGCCGAGATGCGCGCGGGCGATGGGAGGCAGGTCCGGCAGCAGCTCATTTGTTTATTTGCCAAGACTTTGGCCGCGTTTATATTCCGGGAGGCCGTTAAGCTCCCGGACTATGTGCGGAAGGCGTCCGTCTGCGAGAGAGTCGCTTCGGGGAATGATAAGAATTATCGGCCAGAAGGGTTGCCGTTGTCACAAAAAAAGTTGAAGATCAAGATTAAGAAAATTATAATGACGAAGATGAAATCGATTGTTCAGAAAATTATTAAGATTTAAAAAAAAATGGAGATATCATTAAAATAATAATTAGGAGGATTATTAAAGTTGCGAAAATTATTATGATTAAAGCAATCATTCAGAAATATATAAAGATTCAGAAAACGCTAATGATCGGAATTAACACAATAATTAAGGAGACTATCAAAGTTGCGAAATTTATTATAAATAGGATGAACAAACTGCGAAAACGATTAAGATTAAGAGTGTAAGAAAATCAAAGTCACTTATCAGAGAAATTATGAGGACTTAAAGGCTAAGATTAGGCAGTAGTTCGCAAGAAATCCTGACCCTTATCGGCTCCCTCCTCACGTGCCAGGCGAGCGAGTCGGGGCGCTTCTTATCACTTACAAATATTGTGCGGTGTCGCGCTGGGCGTCCTGTCATGTCGTCGCGGGCGGAGTCATGTCGAGGCGAGAATGAGAAACTTCATGTTCCAAGACAGATACACTCGGGCTTGTGGTAGTTGTATAATTCATGATTAAAGACACGAGCAAGACAGAGGTTCGGGGGCTGTAAGGAACCAATGGTCTTGTGTCGCAGAGCTGTGTTGGGGACTTAATGATGCGCCTCTCAGCTGTTCGCACTTGTTTATTTTGTTTTCAAAAAGGGTCAGATACAATGGCACACGATCTTAATTACAGAATATGTTTATTCAGAATAAGGAATGTTAATTATTCAGCTTGTAAGGTTAATTATGACACTAAGACCTCCTTCATCATGGGTGTCTTGTGTTTACATTTTTTTGTTTGCTTGTTTGTTTGTGTTATTGTTCTTGAGATATGCATATATCTAAACTTGACAGTTATCAAGTTTACAATCATATTTTAAATCTTGAGAATCTCACACACGAAATTATGCTGATAACTTTATTTTCAAAGTTAAAAAGTATAAAGAGAACGAGTGCTAAGTCTGATGAAGACATAGCAAAATATATTATTTACATCTGCTTTCTGAACTGCCTCGCTCTCTCTCTGACCTCTGCACTCGTCGCAATGGCCTCTGTCCAACTTTTCGCTGGACAAAGTGCGAACCCAATGCTTTGTGAATATTACATCATTTCCAACAAACTTTTAGAAGACACACAGAAAACAGATTAAAGAGAGCTACATAAAAGCAATCTAGGGAGACAGGAAGGGACGGACAAAGGGGAATTTGTGATGAGATCTGTGATGGCGAACCTCACCCGCTACAGAGGTTTGGGTCGAACCATCAAGCTAGAATACTTAAACAACTACTTAAACGCGACCAACTCTTACAACAATAACAGAAAAATAATGAAAACAATTGCATTACAAGGTTTTACATAAAGACTACAAGTGAGACACTACAAAAGCTAGATAACCTGTATCTAGCGGGAAATCGCTAGATAGGTACACTATCTAGCGCTTTCCAAGCCACAACTACGGTTTTATAAGACATCTAAAACATATGTAAAAAAAAAAACCTTAGGTATTAACGTCCCGCACTCATGGGTGGAGACCAGCTCCTTCTCCAGGTGCGGGGTCTTAGGATAAAGGCCGGGGAATTAGCGTTTGGATTTGAGAAAGTATGAAAGGGGTCGCGAGCATAAAAAAGGGAAAGTAACACAGGATGAAACTCCCCTTTAATGCTCTTAAATGGGAGGAAGGGAGGAGAGGGAGAACTAAATAGAATTATATAAAAAAGAGAGAGAAGAATATTAAGGGTTGTAGGAATTATATGGGAGGTCCTGCTGGTTAAGGATTAACAGCAAGCTATTGAAGGTTACTGTGAGATGTGCAACGTGTCCCCAACAGAAGGCTTTCTAGAAGGGATCTAAAGGCTATTTCATAAGGTATCTGTAGCTTCCGACACTCTCTCCATTGATCAGAAGTTTTCATTCTAACACTACACTGCGTCTGTATGGACTGTGTACAAGTAGATCATCCTACACAAACCAAGGAGGTTGTATACTAACCAGGACGTTATACATGGTACTGTTACGCGAACAATGCCTCGCAGAATTGATCCTGTGTAGCCCATTACCTTATTCTTGCGCAAATGCATCAACAACTCATCTTAATGTACATTAGGAACGACAAACCATGAACCTCACCGTTAGCATCTATTCATCTATTTCGAGGCACAGTTCGAGGTCGAAAGTTCAACCTCCAAACTCCTCATCTGCGAGTGAACGTCTACTTCGCCTTGGTAGTGTTAAAACCCGACAGACTAATGTTCTATGAGCGAGCATGGCGTGCGTGCAGGGGCTGTGCGTGATGACCCCCTGGTAGAGCCAGCGTGAGGCGGCTTGGAGAGGATCCTGAGGCCACGAGGGCGCCGCCCCTAGCGAAGGTGAGCAGGCCGCCAGAAGGCAGAATGGGCAGAAGTCGCGGAGGCGCCGCCCGAAGGCCATCGGGGGGCGGCGCGAAAGACGCGAAGCCAGATCCCTGATCTCCGGGGGATCCTTGGCCGACGGAGTGGTGGTCAGTGACCCTGGTCAAGGGCGCGTACACAGCAGAAGGCGCCGACGCAGACCCAAAGTTAAAGGGGATATTCTGTATCCGGTTAGGGACTGTTGGCACTGTCGGTACCGTAGGCACTGTTGGTACGGTTGGTACAGTTGGAACTGTTGGTATGTCTGTTGCTGTCGGCACCGTCCTCACTGAACCAGAGGCCGATTTTGCGTTGTTAAAAACTTTGAAGTTGCTGGAAGTGGACCGGCCCTTCGGAGCGAGCGTCGGGCCCCGGAGACCGACCCCGAAGGAATCTCTTCGGCCTCCCGGGGCATCCTTGTCGCCGTGGCTCTCGAGGGGCAGGTTCTGAATGCTGGGCAGCGCCCCCGGGCTCCTCGAGCGTCCGGGCGCCGGGCGACACAGAAAGGCGTGGAAGGGGTGGCTGCAGTGGTCGCTCTTCGGGGGCGGCGCCGGCGCAGGAGCTGCCTGGGCGTCCGGGAAGTCTCCTCGGCCGCCCGGGGGATCCTGCTGCGTCTCGGGGGCGAGGAAGGACGCCGCAGGCTCCTCGGCGGGCGGAGGAGGAGTCATGGGAGCAGGACGAGGCGGAGGGCGTGCCGTGGGAACGGACGGACGCCGCTTGGGCTTCTGGCACAGGAAGCTGTGGAAGGGGTGGCTGCAGATGTCGTCCCGCGTGGGCTCGGGCTCGGGCTGAGGCTCCTCCGGCTCCTGGGGGGTCCGGGGGCGCTGAGGCTCGGCGTCCAGGAGACCTCCTGCGGCGGGAGAGGAGTCCGCGCCGCTGGCAGGGGGGGGAGGGGCGGGGGTGGTCCTGGGGGGAGGGACGGGCGTCGTGGTGGGAGGAGGGGGGGGGAGGAGGAGGAGCTCTCGTGGTGGTGGTTGTGAGGGAATTGTCGGGGAACAGGATCGAGTCCGGCGCCCGGAAGGAGGCGTCGGGGTCCAGGATGCCCGCCTGAGGCCCTGGCGGGGTCGTGGGTGGCGCAGGGGGCGGCGAAGGAGGAAGGGGGGGGCGTGTGGGGCGGGGGCGCGGGCTGCGGCAGAGCCACGAGTGGAAGGCGTGGGTGCAAGGGTCGGCTCCTTCCCACGCCGGGGGAGGGCGGGGCGACGTCGGGGCGGGGGTGGGGGCGGGGGCGGGGAGCGGCGCCCGGACCTGCGCAGGGTCGTTGGCGGGCTCGGCGTTTAGGAGGCTGCCCGCAGGGAAGGGGTCCTGCGCGGCAGGGCGCGGCCTCGCCTTCGTCGGCTTGGTGCAGCGCCACGCGTGGAAGGGGTGCGAGCACTTGTCGTACGGGGTCGTCCTGGGAGGGGGGGTCGTGCTGGGGGAGGGCGGGGGGCGCGGGAGGGGCGGAGCCTGCTCCTGGGGGAAGGGTTGCGAGGCCTCCGGGGCGGCGTTGGACGCCTCGGGGAAGACTCCAGCGCCCGCAGGAGCCGGCGTGGAGGCGGGGGGCGGCGGGGGGCGGACGCGGGGCCTGGACGGCGCCGCCCGGCACAGCCACGCGTGGAAGGGGTGCGAGCACTTGTCGTAGGCTTTGGGCGGGGGCGCGGGCGTGGGTGCGGGCGGGCGGGGCGGGGGAGGCCGGGGCGGGGGGGGCGTCGTGGGCGGCAGGGGAGCTGGATCCGGCAGAGCTTCCGCCGCGTCAGCGAAGGAAGCTTCGGGGAAGAGCTCGCTGCCGGTGCGGGGCGCGGGCGTGGGCGTGGCGGGGCGGCTGGCCTTCTGGCAGAGCCACGAGTGGAAGGGGTGGCTGCACTTGTCGTAGGGCGTGGTGGAGGGCGGCGCCGGCGGGGTGGGAGAGGGGGGAGGGGGGACGGTGGGCGGCGAGGCAGGGGCGGGGAAGGGCAGCGAGTCGACGAGCCCTCCGTCGGAGGGAGCTGCCTCGGGGAAGACCTCGCCGCCCTGGCGAGGCGCCGGGGTCGTCGGGGGAGGAGGAGGGGCCGCGGTTGTGGGCGGCGGCGGGGGCGGCGGGGGCCTCCTCGTCGTGGGCGGCGAGACGGGGTCCGAGAAGCGCGCCGAGCCGTGGGCGCGCGGCGGCGGGCGGCAGAGCCACGCGTGGAAGGGGTGCGAGCACTTGTCGTAGGGCGCCTTGCGGCCCGACGGCGCCTGGGCTCCCGCGGCCGCTACCGCAGCGCACGCCGCCAGCAACACCTGCGCCGC